GCTGATAAAGCCTCTTACAGACTGAAATACTGCAGGATAATCTCCAGCGACAACTTTTGTATCTTGTTCTATATGTACCTGCCTGAGTGACACAGATATGTAACAGGGATAGCCCCCACTCATCAGCCATCACTATCTGGGGAGGGCAGAATCGGGTCTGAATCACATGGAAGCACCTCCACCTCTTCTAACCGCAAGTGCTCCAGCAGGGCGCAGCAACATTTCCCTGCAACTCTGAGATTGTTTTAGTCTTGAACAATATTGAAGATGGGGAAAGACTGCCAAAAATTTAAGGGGAAAACTCTTTGAAGAGCCAGCAGTGGGAACATAATAATGCTTCCTGGCATTTAAAATGTCTTATGCTATTGAAAGAAATTATCCATTATCTTGAAGTGTGCACTTGACTGAGTCTACACTTACAGAAACATCTAGGGAATTTTAAAACATCTTTTTCTTAATAAAAGAAAAGAAAACAAGAGGTCAGTGAAATGAATGCAATATTGCAGAATTAGGTTTTAGACAGAAAATGCCAAAGAAAAGTTCACATATGGCGAAAATAAATAATGCTATTTTCTAAGTTCTCAACATTACCAGTCAAAAACTCATCTATAAACAGTGTAGGGAACAAATATTACTGCCTTTAATAACTAGCTACCTGCTGGACATAGGAATTGCCTCTTTTTATAAAAATGAAACCATTCTCAAAAACAGGTTGACAACTGGATAATAAGAAATGACCCAAGAATTAATTAACTAAATACAACACTGAAGTAAATAAAAGAAAAATTAGCCTATCAAAATAAAAGAAACACGAAATTAGGTTCCAATTAAATTAGGCTCCAAAAGACCTATGAGGAGCTCATAAAAAGAGTAATATGCACTTACCTGGTTTTTTATTCTTTTATGATTTAATTTCTAATTTTACTCACTACTATCTGATAATTACATGAAACACTTATTTTAACCATCGGCAATTTAAACTATTTTAATTTTTATTTCAAGGCCACGAGACAAAGGAACCTATTTATTGCTTAAGGGAATTTTTTTAAACAAAAATTAAGGCTTAACCTTTCATGTTTTAAAGCCAAGACTATTTAAAATCATTTATAATAATGCTGTAGGGAGACTTTTTCTTGGTACGCAAAATTAAAAAGATAAATTTACAATTATGAAAAAATTAATAGTTTAGGGATTAAATTGTCCCTTTCCTTTGTAGATGAATTTGTCTGGAAATTATGAGACATATTTAAACACAGGGTACATTCAAGCCTTGTGCAAAAGTGAGAAGATGAGGCCTCATGCATTTTACAGTGTGACCGGTCATGGTACAGACAGTGAGAACACTCTACTACCACTGTTAAAATGTATAATAGCACTAGCCCTATGAGTGGATTCTAACACTACTTTATAAGTGATAATCCTGATAAAGAATAGAGTCAAGAATGCTGCTAATCACATTTTCACCACTGAAAGAGTCCCTGATAGAAATCAGACTAATAGACAAATGCATTGATTTTTTAGTTAAACAACAACAAAAAATGTTTTAGTTATGTAGAAAAAATAATCGAAATGTAAGATTCAAATAGTTTCTGATGCCACACATAAAGGTTCTAATGAAATACTTTAGCTATTATTCAGAGCATCCCTTAGCAGGGAAAAGCACTTGCAGTGACCCTCAGGTGGCATCATCTACTGAAGGGCAGCATGCTGCTTGAGGAAGACAGGGAAGGATACTTTGCTAATGGGACATTTTGACCACAGCAGAAAGCAGGCAAATACATCTTCAGATACATTATCTCTTTGGCTACAAGAATGTTTTCATATAATTAAAATTCCCTTCTGACAAACAGGCCATATTTCTAGGCTGAGCACCCTCCATTTTAAGAAGGCTAAAATTAAATTCATAGCCATGCATGGTAGCACAAGATTTTAATCTAGTATTTGTGAGGCAGAGGCAGGCTAATCTCTGTAAGTTCCAGCCCAGCGAGGTATATACTGTTAGACCCTGTCTCAAAAAATTAAAAACATAATACAATAAAATATAAAAAAATAAAAATTCACGATTTTTAAAATTTTGGATGGAACGGCACTATGGTTTGAATCTGAAATGTCTCCTATAGGCTAACATGATGAGAGCTTTCCCCTAGCTAGTGACATAATTTTGTAAAGCAGGAACTACTAGAGTTGAGAACTACCTTGAGGAAGTACATCACTGGTGGCATATTGTTAGAAGTAGTATCTTGCCCTGGCCACTTCCTGTATTTTGTTTTTACTTCCTGTTGACATTAGGCCAATAGCCTCCTCAGCAACACTCTCTCACAAACAGTGAACTTCCTTGCGATGGGCCCCAAAGCAGTGCCAAATGACTGTGGAATGAACCCTCTGAAACCATATGCAAATAAAAAAAATCTTTCTTCCCTTTGCCATATTCCATGAGGCATTCTGTCACAGCGACGGGAGAGCTGACTAACACAAATGGCTACGGATCCACTGACATGGACATGTTCTCTTTCGTTTTTGAGACAGGGAAGGGTCTTACTCTTTTCTCTGGCTATCTTGGAACTCACTGTGTAGACCAGGCTGGTCTGGTCTCACAGAGGTGAAACTCACAGAGATCCACCTGCCTCTCCAAGTGCTGGGATTAGGGGCGTGTGCCACCACACCCAGTTAAGCCCTACTGTTTTCTTTCCTCTCCCTGCCACTCATTCCTGAGGGTATCAGGACATCCTTTCTAGTTTACAGTCACTGCAAGCTCCTTCCTGCCTATGTCCTTTTCTGAAAACTACATGGCTTCCTTCACTTCACTCAGGCTTTTGTGCAAATGTCATTTTTTGATAAAGGATTTTCTCCTTCTGGATCCTTCACTGTACACGTTACTCTATTCTTATCAGTATCAACAGACCTATCTCACCTAAATTAACATCATTTACTTATTTATTCATTTATTTTTTGATGTCTCCTGAAAGGCTTAGAAACTCGTAGGTATTATGTATTTCACTTGCCATATTCCTACCACAAAGACAGTATCAGTATTGTGAAATAACTTATAGATATTATTTACTGAAATAAAACATTTTCACAGTTAGCATATTTTAAGAAAATCAATGCTGGGGCTGGAGAGATGGCTCAGTGGTTAAGAGCACCGGCTGCTCTTCAAGAGGTCCTGAGTTCAATTCCCAGCAACCACATGGTGGCTCACAACCATCTGTAATGAGATCTGGCACCCTCCTCTGGCATGTGGGCAAACATGGAGGTAGAATGTTGCCTACATAATAAATAAATAAATAAATCTTTAAAAAAATCAATGCTGTTTTCATATGAAAGAAACTGATAATGTTAAAGATGTTTGTGATGACTGATAATGCCAGCTCGACAAGGTCTAGAACCACCTAGAAGACAAACCTTCAGCTGCATCTGTGGGATATTCCAGAAATGTGTAACTGAAGAGAGAAGACCTACCCTCAATGTGGGTTGCACCTATGATCATCCTATGATCTGGAAGGGGGACTAAATAAAAAGGAGAAAGTGAGCTGAGCTGAGTACCAGCATCCATCCTTTGCTTCAGACTGTAGATACAATGTGACCAGCAGCCCAAGGTCCTCCAGCTACAGCTTCCTGACCATGAAGGGCTTATACCCTTGAACTACTAACAAAAATACCCATGCCCCAACTGTTTTTGTCTGAGTAAGAAAAGTAGTTAACATAGAGTCATCAGAGGATTTACTCAGATACTGTGGATCAAATTAAAGCTGTAAGTTAATTTCTTGAAAAATTGAACTGTCAAAAGTTGATTTTTTGGGAATACTATTCATTGCATAAAGTGAAGTCCCACACAATAAAGGTATATTTTTAAAATACTTGAAAGAATTAAATCACTATGCTTATGGGCTGTTGTTTGGAGATTTTAGCATAGTAGGGTTAAATCTAGTAGAGTCTCATAAATATTGCTTGGGTCTCTTCTCTCAAAACTAAGCTGGTATAATGTTTAAGATACACAATATTTTACAAAGATCCAAGTGCTATTTCTCCCTTCAGGTTTACATGTTCAAGCCTTATTGCTTCTTGAAGTTGGGGTTCTTGAGAATGATGGTCAGTAATATCCTGTAGCTTTCATTCTTGTATTTCTATAAGAAAACCTTGCAGAATTACAATAAAGTTCTATAGGTATTAAGCTAATCACCTGGGCACAGATGATAGAAGGCCATGGAATTTTCAAAGTTATAAGCAAGATTGTCCAAGCCAACTCCCTCATACATTACAGAGGAGAGGAGATTATATGTTAAGGCCCAGAAAATTCAGAGAAGGATGCCGTTGAAACATTTTGTTTTTCTTTTTTAAAAATAAAGAAAACAAATTATGGTATTTGAGCAACCATATTAGGCCTTTCCAATACAAAAAAGAAAATGATACTAGCCCTTGAATGAGGCAACAAAATTTTTAGGGAAAAAGACAATTACATAGCCCAGAATGTGACCATAAATAAATGACATAATGTCCTTTATTATATCATGAATTTTAAAGTCGAAAGTACAGGATGGAGTTGGTGTGAAATTCAACACCAGAAAAATAAAGAGTTTTCCCCTTTAAGAGAATGGGACACAAAAGCAAGACTGTAAGACTAAAGTCGCTGTAATGATACCCAAGTATCAGGTGAACAAAAGGAAACTTTAGTAAAAATGAAGTATGTGCATTCTCTCATTGAAAACTTTTCTCCTTTTCTCCTTGGAAAAAACACACACGACCAATTTCAGAGTCCCCATGAAGATTCTCCTGGGAACATCCAGCTTCATCCCTTGCCTCTGTGTGTCTGAATGCTTGCATCATGTGCAGGAAGAGTAAGGTCTTCCACTTACCGGGACTTGTGAGGGCTCCCAGGGCACTGCTTGTGGTAGAGAGAGGGTTTGCATTGGTGCTGGTGGCTGAGGTTTGGGCGGCAGCTGCAGCAGCAGCCAGTGTTGCCAGATTCTGTAATTGTAAAGCATTCATGCCTGCAGAGGAAGAGAAAAGAGATCTTAGCACAAATTTTCCTGTTTTCTAAAATGAAATTGCCCCTGCCCCCCACAGACCCCCTGCTCTTGGTCCTGTGATACCGTGCTCATCTGAGTTGTTTCAAGGATAGGTGTGATTTCACCACTCGAGTAGGAACTGGGATCTGTTTCTCAGAGGACACCTCCTTTGAGTTTTAATATCATCTTCCATTTCTAGAGATGGAGTGCTAGGAAGGGGTACCTGAATTGTATCCAGTACTTCTGAGTAGACCCAGGTCTGAGTAGACTCACTGTCTATCCTAACTTAGGACTGTCTTCTCTCAATGCTGTAGAGGTAACTATGGAGTTAACGGAATATTCTGTATTGAACGCACAGGGTGATGGGGACTGGAAACTTTTACCTATGAGTGAGCTGACGTGAAAATGGTGAGAGCTGGGCATAGGCAGCTGCAGGACAAGCACTGGAGTAAACTCTGCATTCCCTAACTTGACAGGTACACAGATACGACAGAAGAATTAAAGATCATTGTGTAAATGCTCCTGCTCTGAAACTGAGCTGACGCAGGTGCTAATGTTGGCTTTGTCATTTTTCCAGGTACATGGGTGTAGACAATTACTCAGCGTCTTCATTTCTCGGGGACCAGGTGAACTGTACCTGAATGCAGAGAGCTGTGCAAATAAATACGATGAATGCAAATTAGCATCATCTAAGTACTCAACGAATGTTAGTGATGAATGCCTCCAGACTTATCTCATCCTGTCTCCATAGGAGGAACTCAGTGTAGGATGGACAAGAATTGGCAGGGCCTTAAATCATTTTAAGTGTAGCCTGATGACCTGAGGTCTCCATCCTCAGAGCCTACTTTGTGGAAGGAGAGAACTAACTTTGGCAAGCTGTCCTCTGATCTACACATGTATGTGGTAGTAGAGAGACAGACAGACACACACACACACACATTAAACCTACAGCCAACACATTTTTGACTAGAATGAATTTCTGATTATTAAAGTTAAAAGACAGAATGCAAACGAAAGTGTGCAAGAGTGTAAGATGGGCTGAGGCTGGGCTCTGGCCTGCTGTCTTTACTGTTTAGAGTTTCAACATTCTTCCCCTCACTCCTTCTGTACTCAGTCAACAGGTCCTCTAAATACCTGAGGTAATTTCCCCCATGATTCGTCTCAGTAAGTAACAGTAACAATGTGTCTTTTCCTATAGAGAAAGAGACAGGAGTCAAGTAATCAGCTTAATTTTACCTTCTCACAACTCAAACCCAGATACCCAATAACCATCTCTTCAACAAATTTGACTTGTTTAAGAGGAGCAGCCTGATAATGGTTCATATGCACCATGAGGAAGAAAGATAGTTTTCCCATCCTAAGCAGATTCCAGACAGCAGCGCACAGCTGGCTGAGTGCACGAAGAAGAGCCTGGTGCTGAGCCCTAGAATAGCACTGCTTCTGTGCTCTTTTGCTTGGGCTCCTGATTTGAAAAAAAGCTCCTTGAGGGGTTTGATGTAAAGTGAGTTTTCAGTATGTCACAAATCACTTCCTGCCTTCCTTCAGGATCCATTGGACTTGCTGGGTTGTGTAAATTCAAACAGCTACCCACTTCTTTGGCAGCAATGCAGAGATGCAGGATATGGAACATGTGAAATCTAGCCATCAAATGTGTCTGGGAGTAAAGCTTTCTCTTTGTCTCTCTGGTGATGGTCTAACAGTGGCGTATTTATTAGAAGCACTGTGGGGTTAAGAAGCACTAGGCTAATTTTTCAGGTTCACTTTAGTGAAGTGGAAGAAGTACGAGACTTGCCTGGCTTTAGTGGAGACCCACTCAGACCAACTAAAGACTGTATTTCTTGAAAGCTACCTGAACACACTTCATACTCAAGTGTGACAAGAACACCTGGACTGTGAGTGATTTTGCAGAGTGAGGCCCACTGCACAGATTCATCTGTCCCCTTTTATTACTAGTGTTCCTTCTAATGTTCTAAAGAAGTGAACCATATGACTATTCTACAGACAGTTGGGCATATAAGAGGAGGACTTAGCAATGAAAATAAAACCTCACCCATGCATTTGGCACCAGTTAGTAACAATTATTATAGATTCAGGTCAGAGGGCCCTTTTCCAGTACACTTAGGACTCTCCCTAAGAGGGAAGCACAGTATTAGAACCAGTCAGAAGGCTCTGTATCAATTGTCCTGACTGAATACATTCAGTGGGTTAGTAACATCAGGTCCTTGTTTCTTTGTGTTATCCATAAACTTCTTTACTTGTTTTGTATCCTATTTAGATACTATATGCAATTCTTACCTCTATAACAAAATACTAAGATTTTTGAGGACAAAGATTCTACCTCATGTTCAAGTCTACCAACACACACACAAACACATGCACACACACACACACACACACAGAGAGAGAGAGAGAGAGAGAGAGAGAGAGAGAGAGAGAGAGAGAGTGAATGAATGAATGAATACATGATAGGTCATGGATAGACTTACATAAAATGAGTGATCTGAATAATAGCACACAATTTTAATCAAGTGTTATAAAGAATATTGTTTGTTTAGCCAATCATTGTTTTAATTCCCCTATTGATACACTGGTACCAAATATTCACTGTTTTTCACAATCATTTGTTAAATGTATACTTATTAGACAGACATCCTTTACCTTACATACTGACATTTATTACAGGTTAAATGTATACTTATTAGACAGACATCCTTTACCTTACATACTGACATTTATTACAGGTCTTGGAGCCAAGTTGGCAACAAGGAGGCTCTCTTCTGTTCTGTTCCTGTATGAATTCAGAGTGAGGGTATGTATCCCTTCCAAAGTGACCTTCCTAATTTTCCCTTTACACATATCACCACATGAGAGAGTCTCTGCCATCTTCTTCAACCTTTTCTTGTTGATAAACAGAAAGGCCAGATAGAATAATAGTCTCCATAATATCACTTTGGAGGATGGCTAACACGGTCCAAAGACCATACTGTGATGCAAACACAAGCTACTGGCCAAGGTAGTCAAGATGTCAGTCCATTCCCTCATTCGTGCTCTGTTATATACTGGTTATGATCCTACCATGAGTAGGAGCTTGGAAAACTTTTAGTGGGCATGGTGCTTCTCAACCCTCCACTGACAAACAGCATATCCCTGGTGACAGGTTTGGGTTCTTTCTGCCACAAATGGGCCAGGGTGTTCTCATTCAAAATTAGACATCTCATTTACCATCCCTCTTCTTTCTTAGGGTTGGCTGTTTGGAGAAATGGTCATAGCTCTCTGTAAGAAACTGGGTGGGGCAGGCTCCCAGAGTTTCTCTGCTGCCTTCCATCACCAGACTTTCCCAGAGCACTGGGTTACCATCTGCCTTAAACTGCTTCCTACCCAAAGCTGTTCTGAGGGACTGCAATATCGCTCCTGTCCTTTACTAACTCTGTCTTCTCCCGGGGCCCACAGGCCGTCTTACATGGTCCTTGCTTCCAGTCATTTGTTTCCTTTCACTTTTTCATGGGGCAGGGAGTGGTCCCAGTCTTCCCTTCTTTCCCAGTTCCTACAGCAGCCCTCTTCCCACCCCACTCATACTTCCTCTTTCACCAAGAAAGGGCACCAGACGGAAAGGCGCCTGTCATCCTTCTTGGAAGCTGGCTCTGGCTTGGCAAACAGCTTTTCTGAGAAGAAAAATGGCCACATTTTTCTGTTCTGTTTAAGTTCTGTTCCGCTGGGCACCTCTCAAGCCAAGGGCAATAATCTAGGTGACTAAACACAGAAAACACTTAAGTTTTAGGAAATCTCAAAGTGAGCTAGTATGATGATGGCAAAAAGAAAAAACTTGGGAGTGAGGAGAGTCAAGTTTTCATTCATTACTTAATAAGAAAATTCCTCAAAAATAAAGAAATTATGTAGAAAACAGATGTGCAATATTCCAACTTGAAATTTAAGATTAAAAAAATTATTTATAAGGAGAAGGGCATGAAAATTTAATTTAATGTTCACCTTAGGTTATTTTGTGTCTTATTGTTCATGGCAATTACCATAAATCTGCATATCAATAAGTGAGAACAGATGTCAGTTGTTACAAGTGCTTGCCAATCAGGTCTGTTAAAAAGTGACAGATGGGTGGTTATAGAACACTCTCATAAGGCCGCACAGTCACAGGAAGTGTCTGTGGTGTGGACTGCTGGAGACTCAGGGAAGAACACAGGGTCTTTGTGGGCCTATGAGCACACTTCACTCTGGGAGCTGCTCCAACTGCAGCTTCTGAGACTGCACAGACGCTGCTTTTGGAAACTCTCTTCTTTACTTGTGAAAGGCACTTTCAGACAATCTTCTCAGGTTTTGTTGTTTTAAGCAAATGTTTCACTACACTTTATTATTACTTTCAAAATTTAGAGCTGGCTTCCAGAAGGGAATTGCAGTCAGCTCAGTCAGATCTGAAATGAAGCTGTTCCCCTATTCCTCAGGAGGTAATTCTTCACCTTTAGCTTCCAGTCTCCACGCTTTTATGATCCTAGGGGAGGACAGAGATCACTTGGGACAGTACTTGCTTACCATTCACAGAGCCCTGGATTCCATACCCAGCACCACAGAAACTGCCTGTGGCAGTACATACTGGCGCTTCAGAGGGTAGAGGCAGGAGGGTCATGAGTTCATGGTTATCCTTGGTCATGTATTGAGTTTGTTCTCAGGGACTAAAGGTGCACGTGTTTAATGCCAGCACTCGGGAGGCAAAGGCAGGCACATCTCTGTGAGTTACAGCCTACTCCTAATCAACTGGACTTTCCAGAATGAAGTGAGGCCGTTTACTATTTGTCCTAGCGGCTACTTCTTTAGCAGCTGTGGGGCTCTACTTTCAACCGGGATTTGGTATCTGCCCAGTAAGCCACCTGTGAGACACCTTATTGGAGCTTATGTTTATGTGAACACACATGGCCTGGCTGGGACACAGTGCTGTGTCATAAGCCTTATGGGCATAGGCAGCTCAGGTTTTGAATCAGGCTGAACTGGTTTTGTAATATGGGTGCATAGCCAATGACTTAGGTTAAATGTATTAGCCTACATCTTCTTAGCTTCACTTGTCCACTGTTCCATGGCATGCCAACAGTTCCTTATTCATAAGTGGTATCTGACAGGTCTGTATCCTAGTCCACACCACTCCAGTTAATGGTGCTATGGTGTCAAGGTAACGTATTTAGCCATTTCACACTTCTGTTTTTCCAGTTTGCAATGTAGTAAAAAGGTGACTTTTGCCTTTGGTATACTCTTACAACTGCATGATGTTACAAAGAATTAGGTTAAGTGCAAATGTCCAAGTGTCACCTCTGTTTGCCCATTAGACGTCTTCTGAGGTGCCACAGTAGCCATGAAGAAGTTAAAAATCAAAAGCATACTTGGTCCTTATTCTTTTTTCCTTCACCTAAGATACATACTCTTAGGTTAGTTGCAGATCCCATGTTTCTCAAATTTCAAAAATCCACTGAACAAATACTAGAAAAGAGCTAAATACGAGTATGTTTTTGTTAAAAATTTTAAAAGGTAAAATAAAATTGATTACCTTCAAGCACAGTAAGTACACATAAAAGGGTTCAGCTTATGAAGATTTGATTCTAAATCCATTTCTGCTTTAAAATTCCACATTTAGTAAAGCTTATTTTTTATAGAAACCACAAAAAATGTAGTTTCAAAGGAAAATGGTTTAGATATTTTTTTGAAGAAAACATATAGCTGATATATAGCTACAGTATAACGCATAGCTCATGATGGCATAAATTGGAGCTACAGGCAGATGCGGCTGACTTGGGAAGGAGCTTATATGGAACTACCCTTAAGAATGAGCATTCTGAGACCACTTGGGAGAGACAATCATACCAATGACAACATGATGGGACCTTGAAGGGAGACAGTCTCCTTTTAAAAAAAACCCAGAGTAGCTTCACTAGGAGAGACAGCCATGAAGAGATAAGAGAGAAGACACATGAAGCATGTCACTACGGGGAAGCCTTCGCATGCTCTCAACAACAGAGTTTCTGACTTCTCTAGGTTTTCAGGAGATGGTATGAACATGATTAAGCATAGCTTAGCATATATGCCAAGATGCAGACATTAGGTAGAACTTTAAACTTATCTTGCAGCAGCAATAGGGAGATGCTGTGTACTGATATTTCATTTGTATTTTAATAAATAAAGCTTGCCTAAAGATCAGAGAGTAAAACAGCTGCCCTGGTCAGCCTTACAGACTGGGCAGTGGTGACACATACCTTTTCAATTTATTTTTTGTTTTGTTTTTCTATTTCATTTTGTTTTTTTGAGACAGGGTTTCTCTGTAGCTTTGGAGCCTGTCCTGTAACTAGCTCTTGTAGACCAGGCTGACCTCGAACTCACAGAGATCTGCCTGCCTCTGCCTCCTGAGTGCTGGGATTAGAGGTGTGTACCACCACCACCTGGCTGACACACACCTTTAATCCCAGTAGCCACACTAGTATGACATAGAAAACAGGCGGTAGTGGTGCATGCCTTTAATTCCAGCCCTAGAGAAGAATATAAGATGGGAAAAGACAGCTCTCAGGAAGTCTCATTCTGAGGATTCCTGGAGTTAGGATCACCATTTCAGACTGAGGTAAGAGTCAGTGGCCAGCTGTTTTGCTTTTCCGATCTTCAGGTTAAATCCCAATATCTGTCTCTGGGATTTTATTAATCGTGCTACAGAGCTGCAAGGATATCATAGTTTCTTAACTGTAACAGCTGCAGGGATATGTGACCTGATTTTTGTGACTGACAGAGAAAGGTAGATAGATAGCTACAGTGTCTGTGGGCCAACAATCAGACTTTACTGATGTAATTATTTAATAATGTGGCATCTAAAATTTATTTTTCTGTTTACTTTTTGCCTTTTTCTCTCCTCAAATGAAAAATGTTTTGTTCATATAAATGAACCATTTTTAAATCTCTGTCTTCTGAACTATTATGCTTTGATAGTTGTTCATAGCCAAATAGTATTGGTTTGCAAAATGCTTCACACTCTTTGGCAGTAAGAGTTGTGTATATCCTCACCTTTACCATGTCAGACTATCAATCATTCAATAAACATCAGAACACCAGTTGGGACTGGGATTAAATGTCTTCTTAAATACCGTCTACCTTATTATACGGCTTTTTACTATATTTATCATGTATAATGTGCTCTTAACATGTTTTATATTAGATAAACTATCTCCAAACTCTTAGTAGTACATTTGTGAAGGTAGTAACAATGGTTTTAATGGTGATTTTCAGTTTATAGGTAAGGTTTTAATGGTGATTTTCAGTTTATAGGTAAGGCTAAGGTTAAATTTTGTAATTAAAAAATGGGCATTTAACTTGAGCTCAAGTGGGAATGCATCCGAAATATATTTTTTTTGCCTGTCAATTCACAGATTTATTTTCACTCATCTGTTCATAGTCTCTAGTATCTTTACAGGAGGGCTGGCTGCATCCATAAGCCACTGGGGCAGGCGTTGGAGCACTGATCAGTTTGAGATATTCAGGGATACTCTGGTGAGGAAGAAACAACTCTAGGGAAGCTAGAGGAGTTAACAGGTGTAGTGGTTTGAATGAAAATGGTTCCTACAGGCTCATATATTTGGATGTTTGGTTTCCAGGCCGTGAACTGTTTAGAAAGGATGAGGAGGTGTGTCATTGAGGATGGTCTTTGAGTTTTCAAAAGCCCATGCCAGACTCAGCTGCATGTGAGTAGTGCTTATGGACCAAATGTAAGTTGTCAGCTATTTTTCCAGTGCCATGCCATGCTTGCCTGCCTGCCACCATGCTTCCTGCCATAATGATCATGGACTAATCCTCTGAAAGTGTAAGCCAGACCCAATTAAATGCTTTAAGGTTGTTTTAGTTATGGTGTCTCTTCACAACAACAGAACAGGAATTAAAACAGCAAGCAATCGATGTCACCCATCTACCATGATCAGCCCACAATGCTTCAGCAGGAAAATGACAAGTAAAAAAAGTAAGTCTACCAAAGCTAAGTACTATTTTGGGGACAAGACATTCCATTACTTTATTAAAAAAATAAAATACCACAAACCATAAAGCTTTAAATACTTAGAAAGATGAAACATGATTATTCTCATAAGTGAGAAGTACTTTTTTAAAGCTCCAAAAAAAGAGGTTGGTACCTACATTTTAATACTTTAAATATCCAAGATGTTGGCCTATAATGGACAGTTCAGTATTTGGTTTTACAGTTTGTGCACACTTAGGTCAAGGTTCAAGAAAAGGATTTTCTGGAAACCCTAGAGCATTTACAGAATGTCTTTAAATTAGCCATCTGCTCCATGACACCTTTTAGGGTGACTCCTTGATACCCTAGGTTTCCAATGGAGCACACAGGACGTGTAAATGCTAATATCCTGACCTGTAGCTGACACGGCAGAGGCACACATGGCACACACTTCCTAATGAAAAATGGTAGGGTACCCTGTCCACCTGGGAAGGCATGTTGTGCCAAGCCCCAGGAATAAATGACCTTATCTGCATAACACAGTTCTGAGAGTAGGGGAATCTGAGGCTTCCTTTGTGGAAAACCCCTAATTTTGAATATGGGTGGGTCTGTTCTAGAAGGAAAACAAATTGCCTACCTACCTAAAATATGACAAATGTTAGCATGTTTTGAGCAGCTTGCCACTGAGAGGATTTTTTTTTCCTTTCAAAGAATAGAAGCTTCCCTGAATATCTGACTACTATCTCTCCTGTTTCCGTCACAGATTATAAATACATTAGTCATTTAGTGTGACTCTTAGTCCCAGGCCAGCTTCCTAACACATTTTCTTTAATACAATCATTTAACTAGTTATCATTTTAAAAATACATTTTTGAATAACCTAAAAGCTGTATTACAGTGATAACAATAGATCTGAGTAACTTAAGACAATCTGATGAGTTGTCCTTACCCTGTGGACCACAACAAACCACTAGGCTGTTAGTCACAGAATACATATGGAGAGAAACTCGTCAGAATGCAAAATAACAATAACAAAACTAAAACAAGAACAACAATATAAAAACCAACTAAAGGTACTCAATTGGAAAAAATATTAAGTGGAAAATAGAGTTTCTGTAGTGACAAACCTGGCTTTTATTTTATACATGTGGATTTCATTTAGTTAGTTAGGGATGTTCCCTAATTAAAGAAAACTGCTTCATTCTAACATGCCCCCAATCTCTTCTTTGCCTCCCCTATTTTGGAACTAAACAAGGAAAGACATTCTACTGTTCCTCCTGGAGGGTTAATGGGCACCTGTATTCTGATTTCCTGCGCATACTACCTGCCCTGGCCCTGAGCTAGGGTAGGGTGTCAGCAGGGAAGGTGGCCCAGCAGGACTGACCTTTCACCAATCCCTGGTGCAGCAGCTACTGGCTTAGCTCATTATGAAAAGGAACCCTTCAATAAGCTGCTTTTCAAATACAGTCACTCTTTGATTTTTCTGAGAACAAAGATGATACTTTTACATAAAAGCTTCTGATGCACAATTCTGTTAACTGGGTACTAAAGTAAAAAAAGGCACTGTGTTAATTGTCTGTTATTATCAAGGGACTACAAACTGTATCAAATGTAGGCTGGTATCCTGGCTTTTGTTATGGTGGTCAGAACATTCCTATTGATCACTTATTATTAAAAATCTTATAGAATTTAATTATTTCAGCTGCCCTTAGATATAGGAATATCACCAGAAACCTCCCAGCCATCAACCTATTACAAAAATCCCACAAACAACTAAAGAATATAGTCTGACAAAATTTGCAATGCAACGGCAAGAGAAACACTTCAGAGTAGCTGATTCCAATTTTAATACCCAAGACACAAAAAGCTAGTTTATCTGGTAAGTACTCTCTTTCCTTCATCCTTTGAAACGAGCAAACAATCAGAAAACAGCATGGTCAAAAGGAATGGAATGTGCTTCATGACTTACCAGCCATTTGCTGAATGCCGCTGAATGCACCCAGGTTGCTGGAGGAGGTGGCCTGCTGCAGAAGCTACAAAAGAACACAAGTGCTCAGTCAGAGCAATGTGGAGACAAAGCAACTTCCTCATCATCTTGGGTACAGATTTGTTTTCCTTTCCCTTTATATAGTTGGCTGCCACCCCCTGTTGATGGACTGAAGGTCCCCAGAGTTGGAAGTGTAAATTCATATTAATGTCTAATCTCTATTAAGAAACACAGACACTAGGGAAACTCACGAACACTGCTGTCTTAAAACAATTAATCAATTTACTCTTTGTAACAACCAGGTGCTAAATCTTTTGACACCAACAATGCATGACTAATTATAACTCTCTGTAGTCTAGAAGTTACCATAACTCATCTCTGTCAATCAAGGTCCATTCCCTCCTCTTTTCTACTTTCCTTCCCAGTCCAGTTTTTCCTTTCTTTTTTTATTAAGTAACATTTAAGAATATTTATTTTTTCAGACCTTCATACATGTGTACAATATACTTTGATTACAATTTCCTCCTCCAATTCCCATTAATCCCCTCTCTGCATCCTACCTCTGGACTTCACATCTTCTTGTTTTTATAGCCGACTGAGTCTACCTAGTCACCCATATGCGCATGGTAAATGAGTATGGGACCGTCCATAGAGCACAGGCAACATATCAAGGGCCATACACTGACAGAAAAATGGCCCTCCTTCACCAACAGCCATTAACTGTTCATAGTTCCTCAGCTAGAGGTAGTGCCTTGTATGCTCCTTCCCCATCCATGTGCAGAGTCAGTTTTCTTTATCCTTCTTCAGAAGCACATGAGTTTACTGACTCAGACCAAAGAATAGCTATTTACAGTCACAGTCACACTGCTAAGCAAGTGGTCACTCATTCTTAAAGATGGTCTTTACCAGCAGAAAAAAAGACAAAGTACGTGCCCAAATCTGGAATTATCTGCTATACACCAAATCTGTGTATTTTAGATATGTCAAAATCTTAAAAAGATATTAATTAACGTGTGAAGGTCTTCATTTTCCACTTTTAAAAATACAGCTTCTGCTGTGCAGAGTCAGTGGGCATCAGAAGGTAAAGCACATGGTTGCAGTTCTGAAGCATTCTTGTCCACCTTAGCTGGACTGCAGGCTAATTTAGGTCCTATCTCAGGACACTGAGATATTCTTTTGGTAAGGTAGATTAACAAGATACAACTTACATGTGCTGAAGCAAGCAGTTACGTGCACACAGCCTGTTCTCAAACTCACAACAGGAAGAGGTGAACAGGAAGAGAGAAGGAAAAGATCCTAGGGATTATCCATTTTAATACATAAGAATCTTATTTTGGTTTGATTTGTTGAATTTCTTATTTACTGTGCTTAAAAGTGGCAACCCTCCCTTCATAGTATATATATTCTTTTTAAATTAAAGTTGTAAAATTAGCTTTGAAGGTATTTTAAGGAATTAGCAACACCTGCCAAGGTAAGCAGACTACTTAGAAAGTCAAGAAACAATCACCAATAATTACGGGCGTGAACTCCTGTTTAACAGAGAAGTAGGGAGTACCTTAATGGCCACGTCTTTTTAGACAAGAAGACTTTTAAATGAGAAGAGCAAGATGTCTCAGAGGTTAAGAGCACTGGCTGCTTTTCCAGAGGTTCTGAGTTCAATTCCCAGCAGCCACATGGTGACTCATAACCGCCTATAATGGGATGGTGCCCTCATGTATGTATGTATGTATGTATGTATGGCATGCAGGTGTACATGCAGGCAGAACACTATATACTAGAGAAGCATGACTAAGAACAGACTGCTAGCAGGACATGTGCAAACCTACTTACTGCTTATAAAAAGGCAATTCTGTAAGTGAGGCTATTTTATTATCTGTCAGGTTATGAAACAATTTTCAGATATGGTCACAGGAACACATACCAGAGATTTCTGTGAGCTGCAGAGCAAGGGAAATGTGTCATAATACTGAAACAGGGACCCATGTCTTGGTTTTCAGAAATGGTAGAAGAAGAAGCAGGATTTAGAAAGTATAAAAAGGCCAACCATGATGTTCACCTTGAATGAAAAGTTTGGTAGCTACAATTAAGCTGATGGGGGCTGGAGAGATGGCTCAGTGGTTAAGAGCATTGCCTGCTCTTCCAAAGGTCCTGAGTTCAATTCCCAGCAACCACATGGTGGCTCACAACCATCTGGAATGAGGTCTAGTGCCCTCTTCTGGCCTGCAGACATACAGACAGACAGAATATTGTATATATAATAAATTAATAAATAAATAAAAATTTAAAAAAAAAATTAAGCTGATGGCCTGTGACTACCTCAACAAAAAATTTGTGGAAAAATAATTAACATAACTTTGTGGAAAAATAATTAACATAACTTTAATTTTTTACATTGAAAAAAGTTTTAATTGAGCATATAATACAAAGATAAAGTTTTCTAGCTACATCTATAAAGTCTTATGAACATGACTACCTATTGTGAGCTGAACAAGGATGATACCAATAGATATACCAAACCGGATTGAGAAAAATCCATGAGGCTTCAATCCTACATAAAAAACTAGAGGTAACTGAGGAAAGCTGGGAGATGGAGAAGGAGGGTGTGGTTTTTCCCAGGGAAGAGCACACCAATTGGTTGTCCAGTGCCAAACAGCACTCAAAACATAATACAGGTAGAATTATATGGACAAAACAGGTTATATTTAGGAACATATATGTATGTGCGTATTCATATATACATACAATAACAGTAAAAAATGTTATAAATTTGAAAGGGGGATATATATAAGAGGGTTTAGAGGGGAGGGAGAAATGCTCTAATTATAATCTCAAAAGAAAGTTTAAAAAAGAGTTAGAATACTGATTGCTTCTGGAAAAGAAGAAGAAAGTGAAATACTGGGGGAGGGAAAAGAGAGAAGTTCTAGGTTACAGGTTATATTCTACTTTGTTATTTTTTTTTGAAAATAAAGTTGCCAGACCGCAGACTAGGAAACAACCATGGAAGCATATATGTAGATTT